TCAAACTGAGTCATGCCGTCCAGAGGCAGCAAAAGAAATCACATGAACAAACCCTGTCGTCTTCTCTTTTTTTTTTTAAACTCATGAGCCAGATAGTTTGTCTGTACAATGTGAAGGTTGTAGTTTACAATGCCTGCGACAGAGTTGAAACTCAGACACTAGCTGTTGTATTTTATAAATTATACTGCTTGCGGTAACGTAATTTCAAACCAAAACAAAATTTCTACAGCATTCTTTTCTTCAATTTTCTTTCAAAAGGAAGCTTTGCAAAATACTATACAATAGTATATAACTTTGATTTCAAAATTACTGTTAGCTGTTTTAGTACCGCGAAAATAGGAACTTTCACTGTAAATGAAAGAAAGCATGTTTGACAGACAAGTTAAATGGTATGAAAAGACATTATGAAGTCCTACATATTATTATTATTATTGTAAAACAAAATTTTTTTTTTGTGTCTTGAGAGTGACTCACTCTTTCCAAAAATACAATAGGGAGTAAAGACACTAGCTCTAAAATTTATCTGTTAATTGCTCTATAGTTAAATCTAGTCAGCATTAGACATCAGCATGTATTAATATAAAATTTCTGATATTTGGAGGATCAGATTGAGAATAGATATCTTATTTATGGCAATTGTTCAAAAATAATTATGTCCCCTCATTTTCTCATTATGTACACTTAAAACGATTCTTTATAGCTGACATATGCATGAATCACTTATGTCCACTTTTAACAGTTCTTGTATATCTTGTTTTTTTTTGTTTTGTTTAAGCTAGACTTTAAAGCCCCATGTATTTCTTAAGAATTCTGTATCGAAAGGGTTTTACCTCTTGACACCAAATGTCAAAATATTTAGCCTTTGTATATTGTTTTTTACTAATAAACCCCAGTCGTTTCTGTATCGTTAGTACCTTCAGTACTTTGATTATGGAAATTTGATAGTCTGCAATATAACGTAAATGATGTACACTAGACAGCTAGGCCTTTAGAATATAAAAGATATCACCATCAAAGAAGAAATAAAATAACTTTTTTAAAATCATGCAGAAAGATATACTGGTATTTAAAAAGTCCCAGTTTTTCCCAGTTATTATCCTAGAAAATTCCAGAATGTTAAAACCAGTCTTGGCTATTCAAGTAATGCCTAGGAAATACCAGTTACTGAGAACTAGGCATTTCTAATAATTTTTAAACAACTCATCAATTTCAAAGTTATACTAGGAATTGTAATTTATTTTCTGAGATTTCTAAGACTTAAGATTTTGCAAAATTCCTAGTCTTTAGGAATTACTTAGAATTTATCTTGTAGAACAAAATCCTTAACATCTGTGCTAAATTCCTTGAATCTTACATAAATTCCTAAAGACTAGGAATTCTCTTTGTTGAAAGTAAACAAGTAAATAAAGAAGGAAGACAATAAAATTGAAAATAAAAATGTTTTCTTTCTTTTTTTAAATAAAACAACATACTGATCTAGATCTATTTAATAATATTTTTCTAGGATTACTTTTATTATTATTATTTAATTGAAATTTAATAATCAATTGACCTTAATGGTCAACCTGCATTATGACAATTTTATCATTGGCTATTTAATTAATAGATATTAAATAGGAATATATAACCCAAAAAGAAATAACAAATGTTCAGGCACTCCAAGTAAATCAAAGACGTATTATAAACCTTAAGAAAATAATCAATAATTGACATCTGAAGTATGTAATTTTTATCAGTTGTGTAGAGCTATTTTTAGCGCTGTCAAATTGCATCCACTGATGTCATGCTTCAGTGCACAGGCTGTGTGTATAAACCACTTTATGCACGGCTTATACTGCCTGTTGACATTTTTATTGATTGTGATTTGAACATATGTATCGTATAAGTACCTAATCTCACACCCAACCTATTCTCAAACCTTTCATTCATGTGCTGTTATTTTTTTACTAGAAGTGACTATGATGTCCTGAACTTGTGTGCATAAAAGCTTTGTTTCTGACAGACATGTCTGCTGATGTCAAATGAAAACAGTGCATAGGAACAAATATTTACATAACATATTTTATTACTTAGCGTAATTTCATACAAATTGCTATTACCTTTGTAAGTCCCGTCAATACACCATTAACTATTTGTGAAAATGAATATTATAGACAAAAATATCTTAAAGCAGGTAACTGCATTGTGTAGGGTACTTCATTGTCATGTGATAGTCATATAACAATCACTTCATTGACTAAACTAAACAGTAGAATTTTAGAGATACTTGAAGGGGTTTGAGATTAGGTTCTTTATTTTAAGAGGCCATGTTAGTTTTAAAACAGAGGGTTGTGCTATTCCAAGTTGGAAATCGAGCTTTTTTAATAGTTGAATTTCAGTCAAATTTTACAGAAATGTTATAGAGCGGGTGCACCTATTACCGAACACTTAAGCCGCGTTTTATCTCGGTCGGAATTACGAGCACTTTAAACTAAAGAGAGACAACTCTTCAATAGATTAGTAATTATGCTACAATTTTGGCCAGTATTAGAACCCTAACGAATACAAATAAAGGCGTTATCGTCCGATCAAAAGATCTACCAACTGCCCCTAATACCGAATGATGATTGTAATTCCGAACATTGGTGTTCCTAATTCCGAACATGAGGAACTTTTTAAAATAAATATGTTGAGTAAACAAATACACACCATTTTCGTACTTTGGCACAAATCTACATTAGAAAAGGGTTTTGTCAATCATCAAAGTATTTTTAAAATGTTAATTTTATTAAACATATTCATTTCTGCAACAAAAGTATTGAATGTCAACGAAAAGGAAAATATATAGTTTCAAAAACCAAAAAAAGGATTCAAACAATATATTCAAACAGTCATATTTTAAGCGACAATATTATAACTACAGTTTGCATCAAGTAATCTTCTATATGTAGAGAATATATGTTGTTGCACTAACACTAACAGTAATTATATTCAAAAGGAAGATCATCCGAGCAGTCGGTAAGTTCATCGGCAACACAAGTAAGAAAAAAGCGCCTGAAACAATTTATGCACTGTATATAGTCCTCATAAAATGTTTAGCACTTAAAACAGCTTGTAGGACTTACTGCAATATTATCATCTGAATCGGATGCCTCAATTTCTTTTATGATCTGTTTAGTCTCTTGCTTCTTTTTCTCCTTCAGTTCTCTCAGCTTTTTCTTTGCCTCTTCTCTATCCTTCCGTTTCTTTTCGAGTGCAATCTGTTTTTCTTTCAGCTCTTTGGCTCTCTTGAGTTTATTTTGTAATCGTTCTCTCTATCATTCTTGTTTTTTTTTCAATTCCTTTTCTTTCTTTTCTTCTTTTTTCGTTCAACCATTATCTGTACTTTTCCCCTGTTGCTTTTGGCATTATCATTTTACGTGCTTTTGGTTTCTTTGTTTCAGTCTTTGGGAATATTAAATGTTTGCTAAATGGTGACATAGATACGTCTGTTGCTTTAGGAACACATTCATCCGAAGATTTCAATGGTGTTGTAATAGAATCAGTCGTAATGTTAGGTGTCAGAGTAAACATGGAGGCAGTTGATGTATCAGTCGGGCAGTTGATGTAGCAGTCGGCTCCATTGAGAGAGACACGACTGTGAATGGCTTAGATGGAGTGGTGACTAAATCATTTGAAGCTGTAGGTATTTCATCAAGCACAGATTCGTTTACAATATCTGACGGCGATAATTTACCAGCTGATGTAGGAGGAGTCACAGCTAATGTAACAACAGTAGTTGCTGTAGTTATTGAGTCCAATGGGGTGAATCATTCTCTTTCAACTTTTGTTCGGAATTTGGAACATTCAGAGTTCAGTATGTAATTCCGAACACTGCCAGTTATTCATTCATACGACCTTAAAACATGTACAGGGGCTTCACACATGATTTTTATTTTTGTCTACATCATTGATTTCAAAAGAATTTGACTAAAGCATCAATATTGAATATTTTATGATATTAGTAAAAATTTGTAAAAAATTAGCTAATAAATAAAATGTCTTACCAAAAATTGAAGTAAATCCTTGAATGCACAAAATCACAACAAACAACACAACCGCGAATTCAAAATGTTGCGGGTGGAAAGAGAGACAAAGTGACGTTATAATAATGATTTCAATTTTTTGAATTGTGTTAAACATGAAATATTAAATGAATTATAATATATTGGTCGGAATTAGGAGCATGTTTGGCATTAGGTGCACCCGCTCTATAATGATTAAAGTGTACATATGTAAAGAATTTTTATGAAGATATATTTTTAATCACATTATAAGACCTCTTGAATGCTTAGAGGTTTGAGAACTGGTTAGTCCACGATAGATCTAATTAGGGGTGGATTTAAGGTGATTATTATTGCATAGTTGAAAATCCCATGTGGCAAATAGACTCTTGTGCAGATTTTTTCACGTGTCAAATTTGTGCATTTCCAAATTTTCACGAGTCAAAACCCGAATCTCCGCCTGAATTAAAGTAGGCCTATATGTGGCAGGTCATATTTATGCTGACGGAAATTAACGATGATAACTTAGTCTTTACTTAACCAGCGAACCTTTACGATTATACTCGAGCAATTTCCGTATATTTACGCTAACCGAGACGAGCATAATTTCATGACGTATTTAATACGTATACTGATGACGTAGCAACACAATTGTTTTGGAAACTACTGTAGCTTTGTATGAAATTCAAGCGCTTGTTGGGCTAAAATAATAGATTTGTGAAATAAAATTCAACGATATAATTGAAATTATTCAGTCATTGTATTGACGGCAAAAACAACGGAACTACACGAAATTTTGCGAATCAAGCACATGTTACTGACGTAGTACACAGGTTTATTACGTAGAACACAGGTTTATTGTGCGCGCAATATTCAAAGACGGCAGACACTTCGTCTCATATCGACAGTGAACTGATATCGTCTCACCAATAAAGACATACAACGAGGAAGGTGAAATAGCCCAAGCAAATAATCAGAAAAAGACCTTCAAAGCTGCAATCGGTGAAATTCACTGTGAGTATTATCATAAATGCACTGTTTTTTTCCCAAACAGAGACGGCGTGTTTATGACCTCTAGAAAAAATGAAGAGTCTAGAGATTATTTTAATGACCTTTCTTCACTTCTAAAAGCATTATTTTGTAACAATTTGCCGACTGTAACAATAGAAATAATAATTGTATTTCCAGCTTATTCCTAGTTACAGTTAAGATACTTAAACCTTACTGGAAAAAATGCGTAAACGGACATTTGTCACATATTTTCGCGACCTGTTTTCATTTATTTCTTTGTTGAACAGGAAAGATATAATAATAATAAATAAAAAAACAAAGCATCGTTAAATATGGCTGTGCTTCCCTGCAGGAAATTATTTGCTTATGCCCTTTAAAAATATTGAAATTTAAAATATTGTTTTGAAAAATGCATGGCTAGAAAGTTTTTTTACACCCAGACAGTGCAATACCCTAGTATGCAGACAGTTCACTACCTTAGCAATTTTGAACTTGTATTAGAAAAAAAAGTTTTTCATAAAGAAACAATATTTTTATATGACCATTAATTTATGTAGATCTAGTTATATATTTAGAACAAGATCAACAAGAAAAGATGATGTTCAATAAGCCTACATCATGTCTGTATTTTAAAATAACACATTACTGACAGACTGTATTTTTAAATCACAATAAGATACCTCCAAAAATTTATTTGAAACAGAAATCATGTTTTCTGTTTGTTTTTGATTTATGTGTGTGTTTGTGTGTGATTTAATCTCTTAGATTTCTGTGCATGTATAGGAATTATTGGACCACTAAAAAAGTTGTCTAGGCCACCAAAATTTATCGGTCATTCAGTGGTCCAAGTGACAGCCTAGCTAAAATGGTTTGTCTTTGACACTGTCTAAGCCTATACTAGAGAATCTGAATACTGGTCCATTAAAATAAATCCCACATGATGATTTGCAAAGAACAAAAATAGCACAAACAGTGTCATACTTTAAGCACTAACCTGAATACATTGCCTCTCAGTCATTGAATTTAAGATTTTTGAATATACTCGTCCGAATTCCAGTTTTGAATTTATTCTACTATATATTTAGCTCTTAAAATTTACACTGGTCATGGGCCACCGGGCCAGTGCTAAATTAGATGACTGTAATCTGTTATTGTATTAGGGGGCAGGACATGAAGTGGTTGAACACGCTTGAACAAGATATTTTTGTGGCCCCACTTTAGTGGCGGGCATTTAGATTTACCCTTGTCCGTCCGTTCTCTTTTGTGTCGGATGTAACTCAAAAAGTATTTGACCTAGAGTCATGAAACTTTACAGGAATGTTGATCAGCATGTGTAGTTGTGCACCTTGGTATTTTTGTCTGGATTTATATAGTATTTTTAGAGTTATTGCCCTTGACTTAGTAAAATTTTGCAATTTTCAACTTGTGTCGCATGTAACTCAAAATGGGTTTGACATAGAGTCATGAAACTTTGCAGGAATGTTGATCAGCATGTGAAGTTGTGCACTGGATATTTTCGTGTGGATTTATTTTATTTTTTTAGAGTTATTGACCTTGACTTAGAAAATTTTTGCAATTTTCAACTTGTTGCATGTAAATCAAAAATGATTTGACATAGAGTCATTAAACCTTAAGGGAAGGTCGGTCAGCATATGTAGTTGTGCACCTTGGGTTCCGCTTGTGGATTTATCCCGTATTTGTAGAGTTATTTCCCTTGACTTCGTAAAAAACCGTTTCATTATGTTATGTTATTTGTTCCTTCAGTGCTTGAGTTAGAATCAACCAACTTTACAGAAATAATGATCAACATCACTAAATTACAGGAATAACAATGATAATAAATAATAATAAAAAAAATGCACAGTATATTTTCATTAGTTTGCTTTTTTTGGTGAACTTCAAAACTTACCTATGTGAATAAATGAGCATAAAAACCGCCCTGGATTTTCACTTATCAAATTTCAAAATATGTACATGACCAGTTTATAACTTCAATAGCTTTGTATAACCAAAAGCTACAAACCGGAGGCCCAGAACAGAGTGTGTCATAAACACGTCCTTCATGAATGGCCATTAAAAAAAATCAAATAACATACAAACCCACTTACCTGAAAATATATGTGAGAGTTTTGTAAATATTTAAGACACAGAAACCATTTTGTCAAGTTTGCAATGATTTTACTTGCTTGAACCAAGTGTGCATCCACTTCACGTCCTGCCAAGTGATTTGTATTTATTTCGTTTTCAAATATCTTGGTATATTTCCATATGTAGAGAAATGTATTTGTTTGATTTCAGATAAGAATTGGTACCACAAGGCCACAAAGGGAGGAGTTCAACTAATTTGTGGATGATGTTCAAAGCTGAGGAGAGTGAGAGCTTAAATCTATAAAACGGGTCAAAAACGTTTGATAAAGAAACTGTCATAAATTCTTCAGGTAATTGAAAGAGGGCAAGTTGTACAAAATGCCATGGAGCTAAATAAACATGGAGAAGAAACTGTGATGTCACACAGTTAAATTCAGTATTGGCAGAATTGTGTTCTTATAAGTTATCATATGTTGCGGGATTTTCAGAGATTTGATGCATCCTGGGTAAAAATAGCCAAAACACCGTCATATTGGATTCCCGGAGGAAGATGAAACATTTTTTTGCTTAAATAGAAAGCAATAGTTATTTATTGTAAAAGGTACTATACACACTTTCTATACAAATATTTGTCTGATGAAAATCTATGTCGGGGTATGTAAACAATAATTCATGGATATCGTCCAAGTTTAACGAGAGTGCGAAAATTGGAGACTATCGAGAAAACCCAATTATCACCAAAGCCTGCAAAGGATTGTGGGTCTAAATCTGACTATTATCTATTTTTAGAGCTTCCTATCTGTTGTATATATATATATATATCTGTGAAAATGCAAAGAAGTCGTTGGATTACCAAAGATCAACATTTCATTTGATTACCAGAGATCATCAATTCAGTGGATTACTGCGATTCTCAGTATGAAAGATTTGATGACAAGAAAATTATTAAACCGGCAAAAATTGGATCTTACAGCAAGGATTTACTCATTTCAGAAGACAGCAATAGAAAATGTAGGAGTTGCATGTAATACTGGAGGTTTCTTTCGTCATGTTTTGTACTGTTTAAGTGACGTTTCTTAGACTGTTTAAGTGATGTCCCTCATTCAATCAGTTAAGAAAATGATGAAAGCAAATTAAAATCTAGGAGTGACCTAGTCAAGTATTATAATGTTTTAACTTTTAGTGCTAAATTCAAAGAGGTGTCACATGTTACACTGTTTTTAAAAAAAGGAATCTTAAGTCAAGTGTTATTGCCAAAGCTCATTGCATTCCAGTAACTACAATGATATATATCTAAAGAAGTGTGTCTTAACAATACAAAAACAATTAAACTGTAAGGAAAATACTTTGTTTCATATGCAATCATGCTTTTTATTAAATTTAATAGTTTGCTTATGACTGATGTTGAACTGCTTGTCATTTAACTGGATTTAAAAGTGCACATTTTAGTTCACATCAGTACAATGTGCTTATGTGAAGTAATGTGATTGCTCTGTGTCCAATGGCATCTTGTATTGTCAGCAATTTCTTGTAATGATATCTTCTACAAAACTGATTATTTGATTTTAATCGTAATGATCCTTTGGGGGCCCTAGTAACAGTAATTCAGCTGTGGTCCAGTCATACCCAGTTGCTAGAAATTTCAGTACAATGCAATCCTAGGCTATTCCAGCCATTCCTTAGATCATGGAAATACCAGGAACGTCTGGGATATCCAAGTTCTTTGAAATGCCAAGGAATTACTAGAAAAAATGTTCCAAATACCGTGGGCAGGTCATTCTCAGTCATTCCTAAGATTGTAAAAATACCAGGAGTTACTGGTATTATCATAGGTCTTTGAAATGCCTTGAAATGCCTGGGATTGACTAGAAAAATGTTCCAAATACCGTGGGCAGGTCATTCTCAGTAATTAGGATTTTCCAGTACAAGTCGATCTAAGGCATTCCTGGTTTCAAATTTTTTTTCTAGTTATTACCAGTAGTTTTCAGTCGTTCCAATTACCGCCAGCCAGTAACTGGAAATTCCTCAGATTTCCTTGCATTTCCTAGGAATTATCCCTGTAAATATTCCTGGGATTTCCCACTAAAATCCTAGTAAAATCCTGGTAAATTACCAGTAATTTCTGCAAGGGTGTTATCCAATCTTTTAATGCTTTTAAAATGTAAGCACTATTTGGTGTAACGTCTTGTAGGCGTTACAAGAATTATGTGGTGTTTTTCAACATTTTGACCATTTTAGAAGAGAAAAACTATGATTTCTTTTTCGTTTTTGTTCATAACAATGTCATTGGATAAGATTTTTGTACTTAACATTTTTGCTCATTACAAACGCATATATGGCCTTTAATCTCAAAGTTCAAAAGATCCAGAGGCTTATTGTGAGATTTTTGACAGTTCAATATGTCTGTTGTTCGTCTTAGCAATTTCTAATGTTAAATACATTAAAAAGTGTCCAAAACTTTAAGTCCACACAGTAATCAAACTGGTTGCCTAATGAAACTAAAAGGGCAATGCTTTTGAGTTCATGAAAAGTTAGGGGATTTGGTGATTTGTAAGAAATCTATGTACATACATATGTGTCAATGTAATAGAAATTCCATGTACATGTACAATTATTTTCAGATGTGAACAGTTGTTAACAGTATTATATTAGCTCAAATAAATGCAACAGTTTTTTTGAAAGTTTTTTTGCAGTTATTTATGAGGTCATATAAAGGCTTCAGTAGTTTTTTGAAAGTTTTTTAATGATGTCATATAAATGGTTGAAAATGCAAACACAATTTTTTGGCAGTTATTTATGAGGTCATATAAATGGTTGGAAATGCTATCTCCATATTTGGAGGCAGTTTTATGATGTCATCTCATTTACATATTTCGGCTGATTTCAATGCTTTTTCAATGCTAAATAACTGCATTTTAAATGCATTTTAACTGCATTTTAAATGCTTTCTACATAATCACATTTGTCAAGGAAAACTGCTTAATAAATGGTTAAAACTGGTCAGAAAAACAATGCTAAATAACTGCAAGTTAAATGCCTTTCCTTTTCCTAAGGGAAGACTTAACCCATTTCTGCACTAGGGTGATATAATATTGAACAGTCCACAGTAGACTAGGGCTGTCATTGAATATGGCAATATTGATATATCATCGATATCCATCATCCGATACAATATCGATACACACTTTCAAATATCCCTACAATCTAAAATTTATGTATTTCTGTTAATGAATATACCTCTCTATTTTGCCTAATAAGAGAAGAAACTTTAAACTTAAACTCCATTTTCAAATGTCAGTGACAAAAAAAAACAAAACAAAAAAAAGTAACTCTCCAGGAACGATGGTTAGGAAACTACCCGCCTACAGTATATGACTGAAATACTGTTGGGAAACGGCGTAAAATGAAACAAACAAAAAACTTGATATATCGATGATATCAATACAAAATTTTCCATCAATGACAGTCCTAAGTTTAACACTTCCCATTCAACCGTGTCATCTACTAGAAATTGTGAGGTAATTGATTTTTCTTGTTGATCACAGGAGGGGGGGGGGGGGGGGGAGAAAAACATAATATTCTTTCACTTTCTGATTTATATTACTGTATGAGCAAACAAATAATCAAAGTTTCTAAGTATTATTATGGGATAATTTACTTGTTCAGAACTTCACTGGCAATGACCCCAGCTGAATAAAGGCTGTTTTTCATATATCCTATGAAATCATATGAAACCATGTATAAAAGCAAATTTAAGTTGATCAATAATTAGATAATAATAATTCCATTTGTGATATTGAACAGCATATAAAATACAAATCTATGTATAGAAACATAGCATAGACACTGATTTAGCTATAAATAAACCTTGATAAAATCTAAGATCAATAAATCCAATCTTATTATTCAGTTATTAGCAATTTTCTTTTGTCAAATTTTGATGTTATAAAAAAAAGTATAAAAAAAAAATCTGGGAGAAAGGCTTCTAAAAATCAAATGAAGACTATGATGGTCCTAGGAGTCCTAATAAGGAATTATGAAAACCTGTCAAGACTTGATAAACTCCTAATTACTAAGGACTAAGTATCTCCTAGTTAGCACTAAGAAACTCCAAATTAGTCTTAAAACTACTAATTAGGGTATAATCACTTCATATTTGGGCTAAGTAACTCAAAATTACAACTAATAAAACTGAAGTTGGACTTATCAAACTACCAATAAAGTAACTTCTAATTAAGACAAAGTAAAAAATTTGTGTTTGTGCTTTAATTATAAAGTCATAATTAGGAATTATAAAAGCTTAGCAAGGACTTAATGAACTATGATACTATTGTTTAGGACTGAAGATCCCAATTAGGAAAAAGTATCACCTAATTAGTACTTGGAAAACTTCAGAAAAAGATAAATTTAGAAGTATAGAAATCTTTTTCATAAAAAACAATGTGATTAATTAAGGGTATTTTTTTCTTTCAAATTTATCATCAGAAATGATCAATTGCACTACATAATATCCTATATTAAAGAGATCAAATGGGGTTATTTCTCACTCCTTTGGGAGCTCTACTATAGGTGATGTGGCATTTCTAGGTGCTGTTGCATTAACTGGTGAAAACAACCAACATTTTTGTGGAGAATAATTTTAACATCAGATATTCTAAAGTCTTTCCTTTTCATTTTCTCATACTAATAAAATCACATCACAATATCAAGTAAATGATACAGTTGGTTTCAATACAATGAATATGTGTCCAACTGGTCCAACTCTATACTTTGGGTAAAGGCTACTAATTATTGTAGCATTCTAAGAGATGATGACCCAGAATATGTTTATTGTATACAACTAGTAGTTTGTGTAATCTAAACAGGCTGTGCATTGCTAGGTGTAGAATTTTGAGATTTTTATACTGAAATCCCTTACATTAATAATAAGATATTTTTTCTTTGGATATTTAAAAGTCTAGTGATGTGAACATTATTATTGTATGTAGTTGGAAAACTTTTGTTTGAAATTCATATAGGTATTTTATATGCAGATTTTATTGATCATGTGTCATTAAGTACAGTTTTGAATGTGTATACATTACATGTACATGTACATCCATATTTAGATACAAGAACAAGGTAGTAGTAGGCAAGACCCACAGCATACAGGAGGCCCAGAACCACCAAAAAGACAACAGATACCAGGAGCAGGTCATCAAAATTTACAACAGTATGCTTGGCCGTCTGGCCCCTATGGAGCAGTGTCAGGATTTTATCATAATATTCCTGGTAGTTGGGATCCAAATATGAATCAAGGTGGTATGCAGGGTCATTTTCCAGGTCAACAACCTATGCCTGGTAATGAGCAACAGCAAGGTCATGTTCCACAACAAGGTCATGCACCACATCCTGGTCAAGGTCATGATCCACTGAGAGGTCAAGGTCATGGTCAAGGGATGAGATTTCCATTTGGACCTGGTGGACCTGGACAGATGCCTCATGGTTTTCCTCCTGGGTATCCAATGTTTCGCATGCCAACTCCGGATCAAAATAATCCCCAAGGTGGACATAATATGCCTTTTATGCCAGGATTTCCTATGATGTTTGACCCTCAGTCAGGACAGTATTTCCAAGCTCCAGGATTTCCAGGAATGCAACTGCCTCCAGAATCACATAGACATTCACCAGGAAATCAGCGCGGACCTCCTCCACCATACAATGGACAACAATCAACAGAGGTCAAGTCACCCAGAGGTGACCATAATGATGGTAAATGATTTTGATATTTTCAGCACTTTTATCTTGTTATTTGAGTTTCATCTTAAAATCATTTAAAGAAAGTAATATTTTGCTCGAGGTTGACAATTTTGGTAAAAATAACTAAAGTAAAGCAACTTGAGTATGATGACATGTTGCCAATGTATTTTCAATTCTGGCCTTTCGAGTACCAACTGGGCTTTTGGATCAAACATGATCACATGTATAACATTCAATTATTCTATGTAGACGAAAATGTGAATGTTCTGTTGAATTTATTTAAATTTCTTACAGGTGAAGGAAGTCAGGCTGTAGCAGACCAGGATTTAGAGTATGAAAAAAATCAGGCTAAACTTAACAGAGAACAACAGTCCATGAATTATGAAGGTGACTACAAGATATTTATTCCAAAATATGTTTCATAATGCGGATCTAATATCTAATTGACACGCCCTGCATTGAATTCAGTAATACTGTAGGAATTTTAAAATCACAAAACTTAAGGACTTAGGTCTACTTTTAATTATGTACATGGTTTGCTCTGATCATTTTGGTTGACCTGTATAATGTAAATTTGTATGTTAAGGGGACTCCACTGAGGTTATATGACATTGCGGGACTCAAAATAAGTTCGTTAAATAAATGTTTAATTTGATGTAGATCTAGACCAAAAACAGTTGTGCAAAATTTCAGATCATTTGCTCACTCCATTTTTCAAAATAATAATTCAAATTGTTAAAAATGACCCTAAATCAGGCTAAGAAAAAGTTCTAGTACAGTCCGTCAGTCCACAGTCCCTGGGGACCATTGTGTGCTAGAAAGGTCCATAGATAAATGTTATATCAATGTAAAACTATATGTTTGAAGTTTTTAAAAAGTTTATGCTAGATATGTGGAATCATGGTATGTTTTGAGAAATCCAAATCCAAGATGACCTCCAAGATTGCACAACAATATGATTTTTGATTTATATCTAATTAAACTTCATAACTATCGTGGCTTAACTTTCTGCCCCAGCTGATTAATGTAAGAAATTCAAATTTGATTATTTTAAACCTCAATGCCCTTTAATGCCATTCATTGAAAATGATGATACTTTATTACAATATATTGATTTAATTAATGATTTAGTCTGAACTTTTGGAAAGGATACTTAATGTTATAACAATTTGAATATGCCTGTAATATTTACCTGAATTAATTTGTTTCCCTAGGTTTTTTGCTCACTTTAACCATGATAATCTGGACAAATGCCATTTTGATTTAAGAGTGCCGCTTATTAACATGTTAGTTTGACCTAATTTGATTTACATCATTGACAAAATTTTGATAGCTGTGTGCAGTTTGATTATGAAAATGCAAAATTAAAGATAAAATAAATAAATGAATTAACTCCTATAAATAAATGACTGTCTATATTAAAACAGTTTGCCAGAAAATTAAGTTCTGCTGTACCCTACATTACCATATTCTAATTGAATTTATTACATGTATTTCAGAAGAGGAACCAGCAGACCCCGAGCCTGAAAACAGGGAACCATCTGAACCAGAAACGCCCGAGGAGAACCAAACAAAAATAGTTGTAAGCAATCTACCATCAACAGCCCATGATGAATACTTACAGATGTTTTTTGAGAATAAACGGAAGTTCAAAGGATGTGATGTTTATAGTGTTGAAATGGATGAAGATGGGACATCCGCCATTATTGAGTTTGAGACACCAGATGGTAAATAATTTCTAGTACTTATTCCTTTGAAAATTTCATGTTGAATACATCCAGGTGTTGGATTAAGCCAATTTTAAAAGATCAAGGTCAGAAAAATATCTTGAGCATTTTATTGATGTATTAATAAAATGTATAAATATTTACAATATTTCTCACCATATATCCCTCTACTCATCTGCCCCCACGTGCACCCCCTCCCCATACCTTCTCATAACTTATGAATTAAGGGCTATCATCACATATCATATTTTGATGCATTATAGATGATTTTAGCGGATTGATAAACTTAATTATCACATAAACCGCCGCGCAGGAGTGTAATAAAGCCATTTAATAAAAACGATATTACACTAGTGTAATAACACTTTGACGTGACGTCATTTGCGCTATATAGAAACATAGCGTTAAAGCGCGCTAATGTTAGCGTTACGCTATAGACGCGTCATTGAAAAATTACTCATTTTAACAGTTTACTGTTCTTATTTTATATATGTGATAAATAGAATATTATATTCGTGTAGATTCAGTACTAAATTTATCGAACTCGTTGAATAAAACAATATTATGCTCGCCAGAGGCTCGCATAATATGATTTTATTCAACTCGTTCAATAAATTTAGTATTAAACTACACTCATTCAATATCCTCTATTTACTTTATGAGTACACTTGACATTATTTTGAAATCTTTCTAAAAGCATGAATCTGAACATATGCTTCTTTAAAGCAAATAAAAATAATTCTTCGATTTAAGTGATGTGGACCTAGGCATTTAAATGCTTTCTAGTTTTGTGCCATATTTTTGCAATATAAGTGAATTTTGTAAGAATAAATAAAAAGATAATAAGTAAAACCAAAAAATAGATGACAATTTAAGATATTTCCACAGTGATCTTATAAGAATTTTTTCCCTTCTATAGCTGTAGATATTGTCCTGAGCAAATGTCCACTAAAGATGATGGGACGAGAAGTTGAAATATCAAAGTTCGAGCCACCTCCACCGGTTTTATTATGCACCGTAGAAGTGACCGGACCGTGTAGTGTGGTAAGCGAAGATCATCTTGAGATGCTAGAAATGTACTTTGAAAATTCAAAACGATCCGGAGGTGGTGACGTTGTTGATATTGAGTTTGATACAGTAAATAACATGGTCCTTGTCACATTTGACAGTGAAGACGGTAACTATATACAATATTTACAACAGTAATACAAAATTTTAAATTTGGTCTGTATTAATAAATATTTCAATATATGTTTCTATTACTGATACAGTAAGATGGAATGCGTGTATTTAATTTGATTTTCTTAATATTGATATATATCATTGGTCAGTTTTGTAAAACTTAGAGCACACAGTAATCTTTTGAATGTTATTTGCTCCATATTTTCCTTCTCTTGATACAGAACCTGATTTGTGTGCAAATCTGTTTAACATTTAGTCAATACGCAGCTGAATTTTAAGAAATTTGGATAAAATTTAGACATTAAGTTGGCAATATTTTTAGCTGACATTTTTTCCAACATGCACAGAGTTAAAAAATGATGATGATGATGATGATAAAATCATGGCTTGTAATCTGTTTCACCCATCTAGTTGCACAGAGTGTTGCAGAGAAAGGAAGGCATGTTATAAAGAATGAGAAACTCAATGTTAAAGTGCACATTCCGTCCAAAAAGTCTAAAAAACCAGATGACATGGAGGAGGAAAAGCAAGCGGAGGAAGAGACTGAGTCACCTAATACAATTAAAGTAAAAGGCATTAACAAATCTGCATCGAGAGATACAGTGGAGTTTTATTTTGAGAATTCCCGGAGATCAGGAGGAGGTGAAATAGAGACCATTAAAAGTGATGACGAGGACGAAGATGTCCTTTATATCACGTTTAAATCAACCGAGGGTAATACTTATTTAATGATTATTTTTTAGCAATATCCTCACCCGGGCTTTTTGAATGCTAACAAGAGTTTGACACTAAGGTCTGATTTTATTTCGTATAGTTGCACTGGCACCCTTTGTAGTAATGAATTTTCTCTTCCGTGAAAAAATATCAGTTTTCAAGAATGAAGATATCTGCTGTCATGAATGAAGGTACGTATCAGTTTTCATGAACGAAGATAGCAGTTTTCAAGAGTTACGTGTTAACTTATGTTTTCATGAGTGAGGATATCAATTTTCAAAAGTGACAACATCATTTTTCCGGGGTGAATATATCAGTTTTCACTAGGGATGGCAACAAATACCAAAATCGATACTCGAGTACTCGGTCATTTTTCCGATCGAGTACTCGGTTTCTTGGATGATTTCCAATGACCTTTAAAGTTTTATCACACAATATCAACAGCGTCTGTATGCTACTTTCGTTTTCTATTTTAATTCATAGAATTCGTAACCATAAATAGGACTGCAAGAAATACATATATTAAATATAAACATGACAGCATTCATTGTATACCTTTAAATTTTCTCCCTAAATACAGCAGGCCTCGACACTAATTTTTTTTAGCAGGTGGTAAGCCAGACCACTAGATTTGAAATCTAGGTGGTCCTTCCGTAAGACAGGTGGTCAATTTTAATTACTATATCATTATTTTATTGTTGTTTTAATTTTTGACTCTTCTACAAACGATTTAGAAAAAATATGCTTAAAATTAATGACAAAGATGTATTATTAACCTTTAAAAAGAAGCAGATATTTTTAGATATATATTTTTGTATCTAATCAGAAATTAAGGAGAGCAAGTCAGTAGGTATTCTATCGTAAAGTTATTTGGTTTTTTTTTTTATCTTATTTAAAAATACATAACAGGGCTTGTATTTATGTAAACTTTTATATTGTAGTGACTTCTTCCTCAACTCAAGTTAGGGAATAGTGAAACACTTTGTGCCTGCCTTATATTCTTACTGTTATTCAAATATTCATTGCCGATATGTGGTACATGTACGTCATTTAATCATGATAATTATCTTTTATAGATTAACATTTTTAATAAAACTATCAAATTATCTTATTCTTGTCTTTGAAAACAAGGAAATATCAAAAGGACCAACGATATATATAACTATAGTTTAGCTTGTTTTTCTCACGTATTTATTATACAGAATTTTTACTTCCCTGTTGCTTGCTGGTTGATATTTTTAACATTTTAAAGTAATTTTAACTCTGGAAGAAATAGAGGATATTTGTTTGTTTGTGTGTAAGATGAAATTTTATTTCATCGAGTGGGCTTTAAAAACAGTATTCTCACGAGTGGCGTAGCCACGAGTGAGAATACTGTTTTTAAAGTTCACGAGATGAAATAAAATTAAATCTTACACAACAAACAAACAAATTTTCTTTTTATTTTATGCTAAAAAACAAGTTTAAACGAAATTTTCATGACATTAACGTAAATATTAAAATCTGTTTTCCCCATTGAGAGCCCCATTTAGTCGGAATTTCTCATTTAAAACAAGAAGTCTTGAGCTGTAAAATAAGTCCGACAATCAACGTTAAATGACAGTGATATTATTTATTTTGTTAAAAAAATATGAATGATCGCTTGTTTTAATAATAAAAACAAACAATTCTTGTAGGAGAAAAATTCCAGCCATCCATCCATATTTCTGTTACTTACTGCGTATTTATATTAGACCTGGCTTTGTTAAATGTAAGCGGCAGCCATTTTTTAAAGTTGTGTATTTCACGGGAGGAAAATAATTGTGTTTGATTCAGAGGGATATCATTTGGATTTGTTAGTCATACACCTTTTTAAAAGAAAGAAAACATATTTGAGGATTGAAACAGACAAAAAATAAGTGTTGACAGATGTGAAAACATTCAGAAAAGGAGCTTGGAAAATGGAAAACTTGGAAGCTTGCTCGGAACGCTGGGTGGTTTAATTGTTCTACGAGGTGATAGCTGTCATTGCTTTTCAATTTTTCATAAAGCGTACGGCAGTTATTGCTCGTAGGATACTTTAATGTGCCCAAATGTCATCAAGAGCAGTTTGCATGTGGAAGGAATGTATTTGTCAGACTGTAAAAATGAAACAAAAAATTTAGAGATGAAATTTGGTGATTGGAATTTGAATGAATAGAAGTAAGTTTTCTTCTTTTTATTACTTTTGACATTTAAGTTGATTATCAATTTCAGCTTTGCGTTTTCTTTAAACAGCCTGATATTGTCAGAATTGTCAGTAAAAATAAAATTGAGGTACCACATGGGGAAAACCTTAAAAAAGTAGTTTCGTCATTGAAAAAAGTGAAATTTTATTTTGATAATTTTCACTGTGAAATTATCAAATATAATCTTCACGGATAAATCAGTAATCCACTGAAAAGCATAAAATAAATGGATTTCTTATTGTTAAAATAAAGATAAGTAACAAAGAATTACAAGATATATTTTTTTCCATTCCATTTTGTTTACTGCCAAAATCTGAAATTTAAGTTTATCCGATATCCCATACAATATCATAATTACTAGCATCATTTGAATGAATTTTCTACCTAAATTAATATCACAAACTTTTAACTCTTTAAACTTGCATAAACAATATTTTAGCGACATAAAATGAAAATATTGATGACTTAAGAACTTCTTGAAGAAATCAGAAATTAATGAACCATATACATGTACAGCTGACAAATGATTTAAAACAACAAATATGTAACTTGTTTTTCGACCAAATCACCATCCTGCCAAATGAGCTGCACCAACAAGGAAATTCAAGAGGTCCGACGGACCTGTGGCGTTTAAAGTTAGGTGGTCCTTGCCAAAATCAAGTGGTCTCGGACCAACGGACCACCGCTAATGTCGAGGCCTGTACAGGATAATCTTGAAGCCTAAATACGCTTCAACGGATAGAAAATTCCATATTATGTTAGTGACAAATACGGTACCATATATAAAAGTGCCAGACTATTTTTATACCCCCGCACAACAAAGTTGTAAGGGGGGTATACTGGAATCAGCTCGTCCGTCCGGCTGTCCCTCGGTTTTTTCTTGTCCGCCCAATAACTTAAGATTCCTTTGACCCTTAGTCTTCATATTTGGCATGGAGGTTAGTCATGATTAGTAGATTACCCCTATTGATTTTGAGGTCACTAGGTCAAAGGTCAAGGTCACAGGGGCCTTGACTTCATAAAGCTTGTCCGCCCAATAACTTAAGATTCCTTTGACCTACAGTCATTATATTTGGCATGGAGGTTAGTCATGATTAGTAGATGACCCCTATTGATTTTGAGGTCACCAGGTCAAAGGTCAAGGTCACAGGGGCCTTGACTTCAAAAAGCTTGTCCGCCCAATAACTTAAGATTCCTTTGACCCACAGTCTTCATATTTGGCATAGAGATTAGTCATGATTAGTAGATGACCCCTATTGATTTTGAGGTCACCAGGTCAAAGGTCAAGGTCACAGGGACCTTGACTTCAAAAAGCTTGCCCGCCCAATAACTTAAGATTCCTTTGACCCATAGTCTTCATATTTGGCATTGAGGTTAGTCATGATTAGTAGATGACCCCTATTGATTTTGAGGTCAAAGGTTAAGGTCACAGGGGCCTTGACTTCAAAAAGCTTGTCCGCCCAATAACTTACGATTCTTTTGACCCATAGTCTTCATGTTAGGCATTGAGGTTAGTCATGATTAGTAGATGACCCCTATTGATTTTGAGGTCAAAGGTCAAGGTCACAGGGGCCTTGACTTCAAAAAGCTTGTCCGCCCAATAACTTAAGATTCTTTGACCCACAGTCTTCATATTTGACATTGAGGTTAGTCATGATTAGTAGATGACCCCTATTGATTTTGAGGTCAAAGGTCAAGGTCACAGGGGCCTTGACTTCAAAAAGCTTGTCTGCCCAATAACTTAAAGATTCCTTTGACCCACAGTCTTCATATTTGGCATGGAGGCTTGTAATGATAAGTAGATGACCACTATTGACTTTGAGGTCAAAGGTCAAGGTCACAGGGGCCTTGACTTCAAAAAGCTTGTCCGCCCAATAACTTTAGATTCCTTTGACCCACAGTCTTCATATTTGGAATGGAGGTTAGTCATGATTAGTAGATGACCCCTATTGATTTTGAGGTCACCAGGTCAAAGGTCAAGGTCACAGGGACTTTGACTTCAAAAAGCTTGTCCGCCCAATAACTTTAGATTCCTTTGACCCACAGTCTTCATATTTGGCATGGATGTTGATCATGATTAGTAGATGACCCCTTTTGATTTTGAGGTCACTGGATCAAAGGTCAAGGTCATAAGGACTTTGACTTCAAAAAGTTTGTCCACACATTAACTTAAGATTCCTTTGACCCGCAGTCTTCATATTTGGCATGGATGTTGATCATGACTATAAGGTGACCCCTATTGATTTTGAGGTCACTGGGTCAAAGGTCAAGGTCACAGGGACCTTGACAAAAAAAAAGCTTTTCTTCTCAATTGCTAAAGAATGTCCTGTATGCAATGTATTGATTTTGACATTTTGACATTTTAACATTTGAAGCATGTAGAATACATAACTTAGCAATGCACTGGCTTAGTAACCTCAGATTTGGCAGGGAGGTTGTCCTTGTGCTCTAAATGGCCACTGTTGATTCTGACAAAGTGGTATGCGGGGGTATTCACGCCATGATAGTGGCAGCTCTAGTTGACGATGGTTTTGATCTTGGCTGTGTATAACTTAGCATTTGGAAACGGGAACCAAAATTATAAAAGGCGTGGCCGGTTTTGCAAAAAATTTTGTATTCATCCGTCTGTTATAAATTTTTTTTTCTTGACAACTACATTTCATTTTCTGAAATTTCTTATAGAAGTTTAGTATAATGAAAATCATTTACACTCCAAACGAAAAGGTATATAATAAAAATAAAGGAAAATTATGTTGTAGTAGCTTTCTGAGGCTATGCATTTTTCTACTAGCAACGTTGGAAAATTGATATCTCGCTTGACCTTCAGTCTAGCGAGATATCAATCTTCCACCGCTGCTCATAGCAAAATACAAAGCCTCAGAAAGCTACTTCAACATAATATTCCGTATATATTTATGTTTTTATATTTAACAAGTTTCGGCTACAAACTGTCACATAATAAAAGGTGATTAAATATCATAAGAGGCCGAATGACGTAAACGACACAGGACTGTGTTCAGTCCCATACGCGTGTCAAACTGCTGATCGCCTTGTCAAAATTTACGAAATCATTTTCACACCTCTGCAAGGATGTTTTGATTGCATTTAAAAAGTATTATACAGATACGTGTACATCTCCGAATTTCTGAACTAATTGGATACACCAATCTTTCTTAATCGCAAAAAAGTAGAAATTAAATATTTGTTTCCGAGTAATCAAATTTCAATTTCGTTAACCGTTATTCGGATGTTCGATCGAGTGCATGGTTATCCGGTTACTCATTGCCATCCCTAGTTTTCACACATATTGTGGAAATCACAATAATTTGATACAAAAAGCTGGTATATTCCATCTGTATCAGATGTTGATTTGAAGTTATAAATAATATTGCAAGGAGTTTGGCAAAATAAATATTTTATCTCTCACAGTATTTACATTTGATTTTATTCAACATGGGTATTTATTTGTTTATTTACTTTTTACAGTGGCTGTAAGTGTATCGAAGAAAAGTCACAAACTGGAAGGAAAATCATTAAATGTTGCCCTGTATGTACCCCCTGTAGCACCTCCATCATATGAAAACAAAATTCTGCTTAAAGGATTACAAGCCAGTACAACTCAAGATTGTTTGTTTAACTTTATCGAGGCGAAATCTGGATGCGTGCCAGAAACAATGGACTATCATTCTGAACAAGAGGGTGTTGTCATGATTACCTTTAGTGAAACACCAGGTATGAAAACTATGAGTTTCAGATATTTGAGAGAATATTTATTTGTTCAAATTACTCTTAGCCTGCTGATTTTCCTAAATGGACTTGTCCTACTTGCAAAGTTGGAAATGTTCATTTTCTATTTTGGGTATATCAAGATAAAATTTCACAGAAATCCAGCCATGATATAGAGCCTGGTCAGACTGAATGGATGTGCAGACTGTCCTGGCTCTATACTGGTGGCAAAGGCTGAAATACACTTTGATGATTTTTAGCTCACCTGTCACAAAGTGACAGGGTGAGCTTTTGTGATCGCTTTTAGTCTGGCGTCCGTCCGTCGTCCGTCCGTCCGGTGTCCGGCCGTAAACTTTTACTTTAAATGACGTCTCCTCATAATCCACTAAGCCAATTTCATCCAAACTTCACAGGAATGTTCCTTTGGTGGTCACCTTTAAAAATTGTTCAAAGAATTTAATTCCATGCAGAACTCTGGTTGCCATGGCAACCGAAAGAAAAAACTTTAAATATCTTCTTTTAAAAAACCATAAGAGCTAGAGCTTAGATATTTGGCATGAAACATTTTCTAGTGAGTGTCTACCAAGTTTGTTCAAATAAAAGCCCTGGGGTCAAAATTGGCCCCGCCCCGGGGGGTCATTGATTTTCCCTATATGCATATAGTAAAAACTTAAAAAATCTTCTTTTAAAGAACCCAAAGAGCTAGAGCTAAGATATTTAGCATGAAATATGTTCTAATGGGTGTCTACCAAGTTTGTTCAAATAAAAGCCCTGGGGTCAAAATTGGCCCCGCCCCGGGGGGTCATTGATTTTCCCTCTATGCATATAATAAGAACTTAAAAATCTTCTTTTAAAGAACTCACAGAGCTATGGCTAAGATATTAAGCATCAAACATGTTCTAATAGGTGTCTACCAAGTTTGTTCAAATAAAAGCCCTGGGGTCAAAATTGGCCCCGCCCCAGGGGGTCATTGATTTTCCCTATATGCATATTGTAAAACTTAAAAAATATTCTTTTAAAGAACCAAAAGAGTTATGGCTAAGATATTTAGCATGAAACATGTTCTGATAAGTGTCTACCGAGTTTGTTCAAATAAAAGCCCTGGGGTCAAAATTGGCCCCGCCCCGGGGGGGTCATTGATTTTCCCTATATGCATATAGTAAAAACTTAAAAAATCTTCTTTTAAAGAACTCAAAGAGCTATGGCTAAGATATTTAGCATCAAACATGTTCATATAGGTGTCTACCAAGTTTGTTCAAATAAAAGCCCTGGGGTCAAAATTGGCAACGCCCCGGGGGTCATTGATTTTCCTTATATGTGTATAGCAAACACTTAAAAAATCTTCTCCGAAAAAACTTAAATAGCTAGAGTTAAGATATTAAGCATGAAACATCTTTTAGTGAGTGTCTACAAAGTTTGTTCAAATAAAAGACCTGGGGTCAAAATTGGCCCCGCCCCGGGGGTCATCGATTTTCTTGATATGTGTATAGCAAAAACTTAAAATCTTCTTTGAAAAAACCCAAATAGCTAGAGTTTAGATATCAAGCATGAAACATCTTCTAGTAAGTGTCTACAAAGTTTGTTCAAATAAAAGCCCTGGCCCGGCCCCAGGGGTGTCATTGTTTTTAACTATATGTGTATAGTAAAAACTTAAAATATCTTCTTTTAAAAAACCCAATGAGCTAGCACTTAGATGTTTAGCATGAAACATCTTCTTATGGGTGTCTACCAAGTCTGTTCAAATAAACAAATAAAAGCCCTTGGGTAAAAATTGGCCCAAGGGGGGGGGGCTAAATACAGGTGAGCGACCTCTGGGCCATCATGGCCCTCTTGTTTAATGTGTGGAAGCTTAAACAAGAATAACGAATTGCTAGACAATACAGTTCTGACCAGCCATATATAAATGAAAAGTACAGACCGGGTAATTTGTACACATCACTTTTAATTATTTATGTATATTTTACTTATTTATCTTTCTTGTAGACTTCAAAAAATTAGAGAGTGCATTTGATAAATATAAACTGGAAGGAGCATCACTGAAGATATGTGCTGTACCAATATCAAACTGTATTATTGTTGCAAATTTGGCCTCTGAAGTCACCAAAGACACCATTGAGTATTACTTTGAAAACAAAAGAAAGAGTGGTGGTGGACAAGTTGATAAAGTTGTGATGAATGATGATGACACATGTCTTGTATACTTTTCTGATTTCACAGGTAAGTATTTCTATACAGTTATAATTTCAAAGTCACAAATTTCTTATTTCTATTCAGATTCAGTCTGTAAAATCTTTTATTGACCTTTTACTTAAGTCTATTGATTCTTTAAAAATTACTATATCTCAGTCTTCATTTTACATTTAAAAATGTTAGTTTGATGCAATTAGGGGCAAAATAGGATTTGACAAGCTCTTTCACTACTGTAAACGAAATCACTTTACCATGCCTTGTGAGCCTATGCAATTCAATGTGTACCCTCTCTTGTGGTTACAAGCAGATGTAACATTTGATCACTGTACCTTACTTTGGAGCCTATATGTATATGTGTACCTTTTGTGATAACAGGAATACTTGTTTGTACACTGTGCCCTTGAGTTGAAGAGGGACTCCTAAAATGTTTTAGTGTCTGCTAAGGCTAACAATGGGCTGCATTTGTATATAAGGGGCTTCTTAGGTTTATATGGATATGGGTTTCTAACGTTTTTGTGGTGCAATATACAATCCAACCCCGTTTATTCGAAGTGCCTGGGACTGAATATTTTCTTCGAATAATCGATGGGTTAGAATAATTGAAATTCGAATAATGTGATAGACGAAAACTACTCCACTTTGACGAATCGTAGTAAAACTACCGTTTAAAACACATTTACTTCCTGTAATCAATTGAGAAAATAAATATTAAAGAAAAGATGCATAAAAATGATTGTATTGACATTGAAGACATAAACACTTGCATTTTATTCTACATTATGTATTGCTTCGTTTCGTGCAATACCATGATAATGGCCTTGTTGTCACTACGGTATTAACAGATAAACTCTGTTATTTTCGTTAAGTAAAAAGGCTCTTATGTAGCCTTTTGGATGTTTTGACAAATTTACATATACAGTATGTATGAAAAATATTGCTGTCATCTTCAAGCAATAACAGTAACAATATCGGACACGGTGCATTGCTTTTCATTTTCGGTAATTAAAGTTGATTAAAGAACACAAAAAGAGCTATTATCACAATTGTCTAAATACATGCATGACTATTGATGTTTTTCACAAGTCGACCAGTCAGCGAGTGGATCTGCGCCAATTAGTTTGACTTCGAATAATAATTAGGCTGGCTTCGAATAATAGGTGTGAAATTCTTTCATAATTGTATAGTAGGGACCGAAATTTTACTTCGAAAAATAGGAGGTATTCGGATAATGCATTTCGAATAATACGCTCGTATTTATATTGATTTATATAGAGATAAAAACGGGACAGCCGATCTACTTCGTATAATGCCGGGTATTCGAATAAAGGGTTGTAGAATAACCGAGGTCGGACTGTATGTAACAAAGGGTTTTTTAGGATAATGAAGGGCTCCATAGATTATTAGGGTCTTTTTATGTATACAAGTGTTTAGGAGGCCTTAAATTTTTATTGGGATCTTTTGCTTAACCTTCAAACTCTGAAACTTTGAAGTTGACATGTCACCATGAAATTGTTATTTTGTTTTTACCGCATGCTGTCCAACACTTTGTAGGATAAGTAATTTTTAATTTCAGCTCAATTTCATAATTGATTTCATTGTTCTAAATTTTATTGTTTGTTCAATGTTCATTCAATTGTGTGACCAGTTCCTCTGTACTATATAATAATGAATGATGTACATATTGAGCTAAGATCATATTAATTAGTCAGAAAATAGATAGTAAGGAACCTGAATGAGAATTCAAAGATTTGTGATAATCTGCGAATTATTAATTCTTACTAAGTTCATGCCAAATTCCAAAAGCAATACATCTTTTCAACAACTGTATCATTTCTTCTTAAGTAAGTCTTCACAACAAATTCAACCTCTGTAGAGCATCACCTCTCAGAAATAACCAAAAGGTGTTGTTTTGCAAAGTTTGTACAGTACATTTTTTCATGGCATAAAGCTTTTTCCAACAATTATATTACAGTGATTGACGACGTGTTAGAAAAAGAACATACACTCAGTAAACAGCTACTTGATGTAAAGAGATATCAGGAATGCCTTGGGTCTCCTGGAGGGCGAAGTAGCGAGAGAGTATTACGCCTTCCAAGACCTTGTTCTTAAAATGTATTGCCCCAGAAATTTAAATTTTGAAACATCCAAAGTTAATCTTATGGCATAGAAAAAAAAACTTGACTCTTGTTATGCTACATGTTACCAGAAGATGGTGGAGAAGTTATTATAAAATGCACATTGACAAATGAATCAAAAGACTGCTTCAAATTAATAAAACATGGAAAACACAGCAGTGGCTTGAAGACTTTATGAAACTCGATCATAGTAAAAAAAGTTGCAGATCTGCAGGATATTGGGGGGAAAGTGATTGAGGAACTAACAAAAAGTTCAATATAGAAAACCCTGAACAGTTGCTATATTTGTTGATAAGAATGAAAGTGTTATAACAGTGGTCGGAAATAAGAATTTGGCTGAAGAAAGCAAAAAGATTGAAAAATATGACAGAGAGAAGTTATGCAGAAGTAGAAAAAGAGTCGGTGAAAAAATAAAAGAACCATCCAACGTTGAAAAATATTGAAACTAGAATGCTTTTAGCTGATAATTTCCCACAGACGTGGAAAAACAGTTCCCAGACCTGAAAGTTAAGATAAATCAGAACAAAAATGAAATTGTCTTTTTGAAGGGGCCACCTAGGGACAGGTTCGATAAGATGCTAATAAGATGTATGAGTTGAAGACGCGTTTTGCTGTAGATCGCTCTGAGAAAATATCGGAACTTGCCGCAGGATTGCTAGTACTTAAGCAGACAAAGAAATGTGGTAAAAAGCTTAAAAGCTTCCCGTGTCACAGCAGTTGGGACACAGTTGATGGATATTTAGAAGTTTACTGCACATCCCAAGATCAGATCCAGCTTTGTGTCAATGTCATTCGATCATGTATTAAGAACATACCGTAGCCTTAAAAAAAGCTGCCAAAACTGTGGTTAATTTCTGAAAAGTGGCAAACTAAGTTGATGAATTGCATGGATACCATGCAGGAAAATTGTATATGATAAAAGTTTCCGAGGATTCTTGTAAAGTTCAGATTTGTGCAACAGACGACATAGCGAATGAAATTTAGATAATGTTAAATTTTCCTACCGTCAAAACACAGTCGTTTGATGCCAAAGTTCCGTGCACAAAAATGTCCATCGTCTGATTGAGAGGCATCACAAAAACGAAATTTCCAACATAGCTAAGGGTTTGACAAATTACAATGTACAGATATCTTCAGTTGCAGAATATGGGGGGTTTCGAAGTTCGTGGACAGAAGATGGCTTATCATCAAGCTGTGCAACAAACTTCATCAACTACTACTGAAAGTAAAACAGAAAGAACATATTATGACTAAACCTGGTTTTAAGTAAGCACATGCAAACACCAAAAGGAAAGACAACCTTAAATACCATCGAGAGTATGCATCACTGTGTAGTGGCAGTGAAAGGTGAGTATGATGAGGACGAAATAAATGACAATCCATATGAGAGCGTTCCTATAGTTAGTGTATTCAGGGTTAACATTGGTAAAAGGAGTGAAAATTGTGGCCTACAGTAAAAGTGTATGATTGTAGAAATGTATATACGATGCAGGGGGATATGACAGAACTAACTGTGGATATGATAGTGAATTCAGCAGATGATAAACTTAGCTTGACTGGAGGACTAGGAAATGCTATTGTCAAGAAAGGTTGGTTTTATATTTCAATATATATTTTAGATTTTTATAGATATTCAGAAAGTGTTGTCACATATGACTTACACTTAAAGGTGAATGGAAGGTCTGTTATACCAAAACTTTAATTTTGTTGTCAGGTATGGATAACACTTTAAAGTGAAATAGGTCTATAATGGAAAATCTGTAATGCTGAAAAATTTAATGATACTACATATAGTATTTAGTATCTTAGACAAAAACAAAAAACAAACAAATTATATATATGAATGTTGAGTGGTAAATGATCCAATTTGAAATATTGAAATGATCAATTCTTGTGGTTTAATCAATACATGTATTTGATACACCTATGGAAATTTGCCTTTTGTAGACCAATCAATTTTAAAAGGTAGTTACTGTAGAGAAATGAAACATATGTAAGACATTTTCCTAGAGAGTTCATTTAATAGATAGGAATAGCAAGGAGTTTAATCAAAAAGTAATTGTAGGAGATTTGCTCCCTTGTGAAAAAATTTCATGTGAAATTTTTCAGCCCAGTGTCATAAGATATTAAACAAGTTTCAAATGGTGAAAGAGTTGAATAAGTTGCTTAAAATTACATATTCCTAGTTCATTTTAATTAAATATGCCAAAATGCGAATTTAAAGAAACTGTAGGGCCTGCCTAAGATGTACAACTTTGATTTAGGTCTCCAAACATAGAAAATGTACTACAATATCATATATATATCCTACTAACCACAGCTGTTTTATTAAAGAAATATAGAAACAAAGTTGAGTCAGACAGTATTTGTAAAATGCTTTATAAAAGGCCTACATGATTGCTTTTTTCCCTAAATCACAGGTGGTAAGAAAATCCAAAAAGAATGTGCTGACTATATAAGAGATTATGATAGGCTTGATGACGGGGATGCATTTGTTAGTACTGCTGGATCGCTTAAGGCAAATGCTATTGTACATGTAAGAGGGCCGGTTTGGCGAGGTGGCATGAAGCAGGAAGATGAGATGCTAAAAGAAGCTGTATTTAAATGCCTGCAGCAGGCTTCTACTAGAAACCTGACATCAGTTGCCATACCCGCCTTAAGTTGTGGCACATACGGGTAAGAATCTGTTTAACTTTATCTATTTATAACATCATCATCCATACTGAAAATCTACTGGTTTTGAGTAAAAAGATGGACCTTTTAACTTATTTAGTTTATCAGAAGAACATAGATTATATTGTTTTGTTTAAGATACTAAATATTTGCATAATTTTATTTACAGTCAAAAATCTGTCATAGAGCCTCTTTAAACAAAAAGATCGGACTTGCTCTTAGATTATTTATTTTCTCAATTATAATGCCCATAATGTGGAATGGGCTTTACTGGAATTACTTTACTGTGCATGTTATGTTTTATTTTTTTCTGGCATTTTACTGTTACATATTAATTATATTTTGGAAAGAAGTTACAAAAATTAATATTTTCATTAAACACTATTTTCTTATAGCAGCATATTAAATTACATCTTCCTTCATATTGGCAAAATGTCATTCAAAAAGATAGCAATTCATTCATAAAAGTCATGGTATCATTTAAAGCACATGACTTTTGTAGGACAGGTTTTTTCTAGCACCAATGTAAACATGTAACAGTAGATAATCCTGTTTGATATGCAAGAAATTTTGTTACATTACTGAAGAAGTTGAATTATATTCTAGATACCCTGTAAGAAAGGCTACCGCTGTTATAGTGGCAGCTGTGAAGAACTTCTTCCGTGAAGTTCAAGAAAGCACTGTGACGGATATATACTTGTGTGACATGAAGACAAATACAGTTGAAGCATTCAATGAAGCTATGAGCAATGAATTTGGTGCAACGAATGTAAAGAAGTACATTGACAATCTGGATTCAATAAGGCAACCATCTAAGAGATTTTCAAGTGAGTGAGATTTCAAAGTTTACTGTATAAGTGATTAAGTTAGCGACGTAGAAATATTGGAAAATTTCGCAAATTGATGAAAATTACTGAAATATCCCCAAGAGTTTTTATCAATCAACCTGTCAATAAATTCGACCCATGCACTATTTGCTAATATTCCTGGAATTTTAAATTCACTAACTTTTTGACGGAAATATCCACTTATACAGAAATTTCTTCCATTTTCTATGTAATTTGGATATAAATATAAAAGATTTTAAAGCAATGAGGAAGTTGTAATGAATAGTGAGATTATGCACTTCTTTTTCTTTTCTTCCTATGTTGAAAAGTCTGGTTGCTATGGCAACAAATAGACTGAAAATATGGCAGATTGTACACATAAATTGGATCCAGTGAACGCAAAAAGTACTGGAAATATTTTTATGAAACTTGATATATGGATAGATGGTAGTATGGAGATTATGCACGTCTTTTTCTTTTCTTCCTATGTTGAAAATTCTGGTTGCTATGGCAACAAATAGACTGAAAATATGGCAAATTTAACATATAAACTAGATCTAGTGATAATGCAAAAAATACTGAAAATATTTTTATGAAACTTTAAATATGGGTAGATGGCAGTCTGGAGATTATGCATGTCTTTTTCTTTTCTTCCTATTTTGAAAACAAATAGGCTTAAAATATGGCAAAATTTGTAACAATATTTGTGATTAGTCAAAAAGAGCTGAAATTTTTTCTGAAACTTAAAATATGGAAAGATGGTAGTATGGATATTATACACATCATTTTAATCTTGACTATAGGGAGTATATTGAGAGCTGCCATACTTAACAACAGTCAGCAACCTCGTCAAGATTTCTGATTCTAGTTTTTCGGCTTTTTCACTATAAGTTCTTTATTTCTTAAGGTATTTATTTCAAACTTCAAATATAACTTTCTAGTCATCAACAACATCGTATGTTACAAAGTTTACAACTCTAGCACAAAAATGATCATAATTGCCTCCTTTGAATTTAGAATTTTCATGAAAAAAAAAGTTTTTTTTTTTTAAACTTCTTTATTGCTAAATGTATCTTCTTTGAACTTCATATATATGTTTCTTATTATCACTCAAATCATTTTTCGATGAAGGTTAGTTTCAATACTCTTTGCAAGACTATTTCCATAGAATTTTATGTTCCCCCTTGAACTTTAGGAATTTTTTTTTCGAAAATTGGTATGTTTTTACACCAAAACTTCTTCATTTACTTATAGGAAATTTTAATTTAAATTTTCCCACATTCATAATAATAATGACAAAGGTTTATAAAATCTAAGATCCATAAATTCCAAATTTATTCTCCTCCTTAAAACTTTGAATTTTTTTCCTTTCCCATTTCTTTTTAACTTTAACTTTTACCAAAATTCAACATAAACATTTCATTTATTGAACAGGCGCTTCATTACTAATTGTTCTTCGTTAACATAATATGTATTGACGTTAATCTTGCATCTTTTTTTTCCAAGAAGTTTATCTCCTCTTTATAAAGTAATTTCGTTTTCTAAAAATTTAATATTTTGGGGTTAAACGGGGATGTTTTCAAAAATTTACTTTAGAAGTGTCCTTTAGTCCGGTCTGCTAATTTCATAAAAAAACTGTTTTTTGTAATCAACTTATAAAGAACTTTCCAACAAATTTACTTAAGATAGACAAAAATTGAAACACTAGTGAATGGCCAATGGCCCTTCAGAATGTTGCTGGGGTTCTACCTGTAGGGGGACTTATGGATTGCTTGCAAATTATTTACTATTGACAAATTGTTTTTTACATGGTTGTATGTTGCTGTTTGAAGTGTGAAAAATATATTCTTTTGTTCATTTCACAATATTTACTTTTAATGCATTTTCTAAATTTTCATGAAAATTAGCACGAATCTGGAGGCGTGCTGCTTAAAACTATTGTCCTTTGAATGTTTGTTTTGTGACTAGCAGGAGCTTGACTCGGATGATGAAAAACCCTTATATTTTAAACCAATGGACAACAGACGAAGAGATGATGACTACTACCAAAGTCTCAAAGTAATTTAGCGCCACCTAGTGGTTAATTATATTGAATTTTAACCCTCACTACAGTGTTTGAGCAGACCCTCTCAACGCTTGCAGAAATAATAATCACAACTTAGAAAAATATCACTTTTTAGCTAATTTCTTGAATTTTTTCTTTTAATTATCATATATCAATTGGCTGTGAAGAGATAGATAATTAATAAGACGTTGTGAAGTGTAATATGGGCCATTTAAAATGCAAGATTTTAGCATTTTAGTAGTTCAAGCGACTTTTTTGATATACCGGAATATGGTATTTAGTGTTGTGCTCCAACACTTTTTAGTCCTCACTCAATAATTTTGTATATGCTAAAATAAAACCTTAATTTGTTGACTTAATGTAATAGATTTCTCTGTTTTTGAATTTGGAACTAACCTTAATTACTTGACTTTTTGTGTGATACATTTGCTGTTTTGAATTTGGAACTAACCTAAATGTCTTGACTTTTTGTAGTGATACATTTGCCGTTTTGAATTTGGAACTAACCTAAATGTCTTGACTTTTTGTGTAATAGATTTGCTGTGTTTTAAATTTGGTACTTACCTTTATTTCTTGAATTTATTTAATGGATCTTTTGAATATGGATCGTAAGGGATGCAAAAGTTGAGCTACCAACAGTATAGAGCCTGATCAGTACACTTTCAATATTCAGGAAGAAATTGACGACCGGAAAAATTATTTCAAATTATAACCTTTCAAGATTTTTAATTGTTTTGGTCACTATACAATATGCTTTATTATAAGTTCAAAATATAGGTGGTTTTTTAAAAAAATATACATGCATGTATTATTTATTTTACCCTGTGTACTTACAGTTACTTTGGTTTACTTTCAGGAAAAGCACCACCTTTGCCAAAGGTAGACCACCACAAAAAACAACTAAAATAGGAAATATTTCCGTAATCTGTGGTAAAGGAGAGAAATTGCGAAACAAAAAGTAATTAAACTTTTTGTTTATTTCGTTTAATGCATGTACATGTGTTTCAATAACCACAATTTGTGGCTAGCCTGAGTCCCTTATTGTTATGAAGTTTTTTGTGACCGCTTGATAGAAGTAAGTCTACTCTATGGGCCTGATTCAATATTTTCTCATATCTGCACAAATTTCATTATTGATTTGAATGTAGAGCAAACTTGAAACTGAGCCTATACATTCTGTAGGTTTCTCACAAAAGAGCTTTGCCCACAAACCAGAGTGACCTTATATAGGCATATATTATTAGTTATAAAGATTTTGACAGGTTATATGGCCCTATATAAACGGTTGTTTATAAATATAACCGGAGCTGCTAGGCGAGGGTTTTATTGAAAAAAAACAAAACGTTTATATAGGGCCATATAACCTGTCTGAAATATTTATAACGAATTTATAATACAGCAAGCACCATTTTTAGAGGAATAAAGCGAGATTTCTTTATAAATCGACAGCAGCCGTGTATTTAAAACTATATAAAGGCCACGATTAACAATGAAAAGCCACGTTACAAACGTTTAGTATTATTATTTGCTTTCTAAAGATAGTTTGTAGATTTTATTTTTTCATTTTACTTGAATAAAACCTTCACAAGACTTTATCAGTAGTAGGAATTTGTTCTTGCAAGCAATAACCTGAATTAAAAAAGTACAACACAAAAAAAACAAAATTCTTGTCATAAAGTGTATAAAGCTTTATATCTGCTGTCTGTATGTAAAAAATATTTTATTTCACTTTTAATGAAGAAAAATGCCCATAAAATTTGTAATTGATAGAAATAAGTTTGAAATAAGTTTGTAAAGCAAAATGGTTCATGCGTGAAATTGTTGCTGAATGGTAAAAACTACTTAAAAAAGCAACTGGAACATATTCTGTTTTCATACAATATTCATCTGTGACCTAATATGTTACAACTGTTTTCGAGAATCAGGTATTTTTCAAGAACTTGCGACCATTGGTTCTTTTTTAAGTTTCTAGAGTAAATTTAAGAACTTGTTGGGGTGGAAGAAAAATGTTTTGTTTTCAAAAGTAAAATCTAGTTGAAAAATTGATGTTGTTTTAAAAAGAATTTCTATCCTTAAAGGTTGATGTAATAGTGAACACTACAGCTAAAAATCTGGATTTGAAGAATGGCGCTGTTTTCTGCCTCCTTATTGAAAACTGGTGGTATGGGAACTGCAGCAAGAAGTGTCCAAGAAGTATCCCAATGGTATAAAGGATGGTGAAATAGCTGTAACTTTCTGGTCAAGAGTCTTAGGTGTGATATTTGTTGTACATAGTTCTTTGGCAAACTGGGACGGGAAAAAAAGATGCTCAATGTAAACAGGTATGCCTGTTAAAGGGTTTGTTTCTTTTTGCTCGAAAGAACTTGTGAACCGTTTTGTTTTTGTTTTTTTTATCAGATGTTCAAAAACAAAATTATTCCCTTCAGAAGGACGTCCGGAAGTCTTTCATCTTAGAAAATAATTTCAAGTTAACAACTCATTGGCACACTTGAAATACAAGAGGTTCTGAATTAAGTTCTACTTAAAAGTCAAAATAGCATGGCTATGAAAATTTTTAGGAAAATTTTTTTAAAACTTTCAAATTATGTCAAACTGTCAATGTACAAATTCATGCGAAGGAATAATTGGGTGCACGGACATAATCCCCTTTGGACAAAATTCCCCTTCATGTATTTTTGTATATCTGGACATAATCTCCTCCATGGGTGGACATAATCCCCTTCATGTGTGATATTTTGAAGTGGACAAAATCCCCTTATACAATCAATAAAACAATTATTGGCTAATAAAAATGTTTTTTCATACAAAAAAATTAATTAAAGAAATTGCCTAATGAAAAATGTTTTATGCAGTTGATAATTTACCTTAATTTTAATGAAAGCTTCTAAACTATATAAAGGTTAACTATTTGATACATAATTATAAAAAAAAAAAAAGAGTTCATTATTCATCAATTTTTAGGGAATATAATAATACATTATTCATCCATTTTTGTGGAGCATAATAATACATTAGAAACCTATGAAACAAAGGGATTTTGTCCGGGTAGTGAAGGGGATTTTGTCCGGCCTTGCAAAAAATGAAGGGGATTATGTCCACCCATGAAGGGGATTTTGTCCGGGTAGGCAAAGGGGATTTTGTCCAAAGGGGATTATGTCTGACATTCGAATAATTGACGAAAACTATATTTGGTAACACTAGGTTAACCAATGGGAAAGTAGGTCAAAACTGATCTTTAACATCTTAGAGGGGTTACTAGTGAAAATAAATAGATGTGGTAGGTATCATGAGTATCCAAACAAATCTATGACTTGTTTATTTTGAGATAATAAAAATCCTATTTTGTTGCGCAGGCATTACATAAACTTATGAAAGACTGCATGGACGAGGCCGAGAATCAAGGCAAGACCAGTATAGCTTTTTTCCAGCCATTGGGTACAGGTAAAACCTCGGATTTCCGCGTGACATCGTAGCAACTGAGATGTTTTTCAGCTGTGTCAAAGTTTTTTCCAATAGTAACCTTTCATCTAGTCTGCGTGAAGTCAGTTTCATGAGTTTATTTATCAAAAAGATTTTTCAAACTATTCAGGTAGTTATATTAAAAATCTACTTTCAATCTTGATTTATTATATTTTTGCTCAAAGGGAAGAGATTCCAATTTTGTTCTTTATTTGTTATAGGAAAACAAACAATTTAAGTTGTGAAGTATAATTTAGTAATTATTATATAATTATTTTGATCCAGTTATTCTTGTATTTTGAATAGTTTTTTATCAAATTTTTTTATAGTGGGACGTCAGTGGTTGAGTGTTTAAGTTTATTGACGTCAAAATCACTTTCTCACAGGAACTTTGAATTATTTCATGTGAGCAAGCTATTTCTTGCTAGCTAGTGGAATGTTGGTGGTTTCTACTTAGGTGCCCATTCATACCTGAAATAATGCATGGAAGGGCACTAGGTCTTCCTCCTACAGTAAAGCTGGAAAGTTGCCATATGACCTATACTGTGTTGGCTGTGGCATGAAACCCAACAAATTAAATAAATAGAAATATCAATTTTATTCAAAAAAAGGTTTGTTTCCTTGCAAATCAGTAATCTTGTGACTGTTTGTACAGTATTAATTTAGCCTGATATGATCATATTCATAAAGCAATAAAAAAAATCAGGATCATTTGATTCAGATATCTTTGTTTGTGAACACACGGCCAGATGTTCAACACCACCTACTTATACTTTGCAGTTTTTAAGAAAAATAATGAACTATGAATTGGGAAATGCGCTTTAAAAATCAACATGTACATGTACCAGTTACTATCTAAGTAACTTTACAAATGTATATAGAAAACCATATACCAAAAAAATAGAAAACCATATACCAAAAAAATAGAAAACCATATACCCCCAAAAAAAAAGTTGTCAGTGAGTATATCAGTCACAGTGTAAGCAATACACATGAACTATGAGTGATATGGGTTTTATTTCACAAAACATTTCACTAGTTAGGATCAAATCAATTGTGTTTCCATGGTTTTTAGGCTTTTGAAAATGAGGCGAGAAGATGGTCAACAGGGAAAAGGGGCGCAACTGGAGGAAGAGAAGGCCGGCAATATGATCTGTACCAAGATTTACAAGGGAGATTCCGTAGGTTATTTTTTAAAATTTCTATTGCTTTAATGTTTGTTTAATGTCTCACCTCCCTTTTATATGTTTTACTTTAAGTAAAAACTTCCCAGTTTGCATGGTATGGGCTGTTCATCTAGGATTGTGAATTTCTTTTTATATTTTTAATAACGCCAAACAGTGCTAATCAGAATATGGTCCCCACAAGAGCTGTAGATCTATCAGTCTGTTCCAATTAAACATGTTATTACAAAAAAATATGTTGAAATCTTGGAATTATATTAAATATTTTATCATGGAAATATAGAACCATATAAGTATTTTGTTCAAAAAGTCAAGGTCACATGTACAAGGTCTAATGTTAATATATGGTCTTAAACAATTTAATGATATCAGTACCACTGACATCAGTAAAAATGTCTTGAAATATAATAGTTTTGCACAGACTGTTTACACCATAAAGCCCATAACTTTAATTTTATACATAAATAATAATCATATATATTGTATTGAACTGTTTTTTATAATATTATTAATTACTGTATGATTGGGTAATCACTAACTTGAGGATACAAAACTTTAATTATTTTGCCTTTTGGCATTAAATTTGAAATAATTTTAATTATAGATAAACAGCAATGTGTTGAATTGTTATTTGACTAGTAACATCTGATTTTGTTGATGCTTTCAACCTTATAGACTTACGACAGGAAGCTATCATTAGAATTATTGAAATAAGAATTCCCACAAAATTTGTTTTATGATGAATAATGATTAAGCCTTTATAATTGACATCATGATTATTTAAGATTGAAACATTCTGTGTCATTTTTGTATCATTAATGATCTTCAAAAGTTAGAGGGTGTCCATGGCTGAGTAGATAAGGTTGTTGACATTAAACCACTTGCTTCATATCATGACAGGGACTTTGGATTCTTTCTTTCTTCCATAACTGTTACATGGAATGTTTGTACATAGCCTCAGTGTCAGTTTTAATTTCAATGATAGAAAATGTATGCTAAATGTTTTAGGTAGATTATTTTCTAATCGGATTGTTTCTGTTGATAAATCGTTACCTTGTTTCCTATTGTTTTCACTTTAACTTTATAAAATTTGGACCCAGTTATATATGCACACCAGTTATACCAGAAAGCCAACTGCACTTTTCAGTCCTTTGTTACCATTCAGGTATTCAGTTTGTTACTAATCACATATGAAGCTTGTTACCAGTCAGTTATTAAGCTTGTTACCAATCACATATTAAGCTTGTTACCAATCACATATTAAGCTAGTGGCCAATCACATATAAAGCCTGTTACCAGTCAGTTATTAAGTTTGTTACCAATCACATATTAAGCTTGTTACAGATCACATATTAAGCTTGTTACAGATCACATATTAAGCTTGTTACAGATCACATATTAAGCTTGTTACCAGTCAGTTATAAGCTTGTTACCAATCTCATACAATCACATATTAAGCTTGTTACAAATCACATATTAAGCTTGTTACCAATCAGATATTAACCTTGTTACCAATCAGATATTAAGCTTGTTACCAATCAGATATTCAGTTTGTTATCAATCACAATTTTACTTTATTACCAATCAGAAATTAAGCTTTTACCAATCAGATATTTACCTTGTTTCCTGTTAGACTTGTTTCCTGTCGGACTTGTTTCCTGTGAGATATTTACCTTGTTTCCTGTCAGACATTTACCTTGTTTCCTATGAGATATTTATCTTGTTTCCTGTCAGACTTGTTTCCTGTCAGATATTTACCTTGTTTCCTGTCAGATATTTACTTTGTTTCCTGTCAGATTTGTTTCCTGTCAGATACTTACCTTGTTTCCAGTCAGACTTGTTTCCTGTAAGATATTTACCTTGTTTCCTGTAGGATATTTACCTTGTTTCCTGTCAGACTTGTTTCCTGTAAGATATTTATCTTGTTTTCTATCAAATATTACCTATTTTTATCAGTTTGGAGAAAGTAAATGAATGATATATTGTACATGAAATAAACCAAGCAGAAGGGATATGTATTGTGGAAAATGTTCGTATTCAGCTGTGTTTATCTGCCATATTTTACAATATTAAGCTCACCATTAAAAAAACAAAACAAAAAACAGTGTATTACAATTGGTATAAGATATAGGAAAATATTAATGCAAACAACTTCTACTTAAGAGCAATATTTAAATTGTTAATTCAGTTGTTTATACAGAACGTATCCTACTGTCGTAATATTTTTTTTTTAATTCTGAATTACTAAGTACATTTACCACACGTCATCTCTTCTGCTTGGTAGATGATGGCTCCGACTCTGACTCCGACACATTTGGCAACGGATATGACACAATGGAACATAATAGGAAAACCCGGAGAGAGAAAAGGAAGGAGGCGGACTACGTAACACCATATACTGGTTTACAACGTATTTGTGACCCAAAATATTGGCTGGAAGACGAGAATATTGACATGGCAAGTAAAATCATAAAAAACACTAACTCAGATATTAGTGGGTTAGAGCAAGTTTGTGTTATTAGTGCGGGACAGGCAAAGAAGTGTTCTGGAGAGTATCTACAAATCCTTCATTCTCATGGGCATCATTGGATAACAGCAACTACGATTGGATGTGACACCAATGTTATTAAAGTTTACGACAGTATGTATCGTGACTTTGACAGACATTGTGTGAAACAAATCATCAAAATGTCGCCAGTGGATGAAACAGGAGAAATAATTGTTGAATTAGCGCAGTTTCAGAGACAAAAGAACAAAGCTGACTGTGGCCTTTTTGCAATAGCGGCTGCATTTAGTCTCGCTGGTCGGCAGGATCCGTCCAATGATCGCTATGATTTGGAAAAGATGCGATTACATTTATTGAGCTGTATTCAAGCTAAAGCTTTAATACCATTTCCAGACTATCCGGGCACTGTAACTTCACAGAAAAAGAAAGTGTATAATGTGGCTGTTTGCTGTCATTGTGGAGATTTACTCAATCGGGCTGGAGGACAAACAGTGTTACAATGTCAGAGTTGTGCAAGATTTTGCCATACCCCTAGGGATAATAGTTTAAATTCTTGTTCTATGAAATATAATGATATGGATTTATGTGTGAGTTGTTATACTCAAATTTATAGTTGAATTGAATATGACAAGGCATGATGTAAGTGAAAAGATGTCTTTAAATTACAAGATATAATTATTTTTGTTGTGAATATACTTTTCAAATCTTTTGCCACTTCACATTATCTTTAGATATGATATCAGCTTTTAATAAGAACATTAATTTTTATATTTTGCCTCATGATGATTTTCATTTATAATATGTTTATGATGGAAATTAATATCACATAATCTGTAACATCATTTAAAATTTAGTATCAAAATTGACCCAAATTTTGGTTAAAGATACTGGGTATGCTATGGTCCTTTTGGAGTAAAATACTTTTGTCGCAGAAATTTATTGAAATCTTTGAAATTTTTACTGAATATTTCTAATTTGAAAAAAAGAATGTACAAACTTAACTATGTATGGAAAGCTGTCTGTAAGGGTCAAGTATTGTTTGGCCATTCTTTAAAAACTGCCGGTTTATTTAATTTCACTATATATTTATATTGTATCCACCTATAGTGTGTTTAGTTTAAATCAGCACATATCTACTTTGTATGAAGTCAGAACATATTTACTTTATATTTATAATACAAAACAATACAAATACAAAGAGACTGTGTAGCAATTATCTCATTTTTGATTTCAAATTTGAGCTTAGTTATGATATCTTTAAGTATTTGACTGTCTGGCCTATTAAATATATTAGGGAACCTAAAAGGCTGAGTGGTTATTGTTGCTGATGTCCAATCATTTGCTCCTTACCACTTTTGGCTCTTTTGCTGAATTGTTACTGGCATGGAAGCTATTTAGCTTGATTATGGGAGGTTGGTGGTTCTACACAGGTGGCTGTTTGTATAGATAATGCAGATTGGTATCTTAGATTTTCCTTAAACACTAGTGAAACTGAAAAGTTTTAATATGAGCAGTTCAGTGCAGATATGACTTATAAAACAGTGAACTTAAAATGAAAGAAAAAATGAATTAAAAAGATACAATATGTAATTTGCATATAAGTAAATCATGATGATAAACTTTAGGACATGTTTGTGAATTGTAATGATCTACTTATCTGCATGTTAATAAATCCAAAATGCAAATTTGTCAATCATGATATTATTAAGCTAATGAATGCCTTTGCTCATTATGTTAATCATTTGATTTGCATTTTTCTGAATATTGAAGATCTTCTCATTTGCATATTATTAAGAAGTGTATTTTGTAAATCATTAGAAGCTAATGAATGCCTTTGCTTATTATGTTAATTAATTCATTTGCAACTTTCTGAATCATGAAGATCATCTCATTTGCATATTAATAAAAAGTGTATTTTGTGAATCATGATCAGCTAATATTGAATGCCTTTGCTTATTATGTTAATTAATTCATTTGCATCAAGATAATCTCATTTGCATATAGTTAAGAAGTGTATTTTGTAAAACATAATAATGGATCAGCTAATTTGCAATTTGTAAAACAGTTATGGCATTTGATTGACATGCTCATAAATTGTAACTGCAGTTGATTTATATATTATGTTTATCAATTTTGCAAATATATATATGTAAATGACAGTGATAATCCCATTTGCATATTTGTTGTGCATATATCATTCCGTAATCTTGATTATTTCCATAATTGTAATTGGTACTTTTTAACTCATTTCAAAATGATTGTCCAAACTTAATCTACCTGAATTTCAATGTAATTAACTCATTTTGCATAATTTTATTTTAATTGTAAACTCTAATTTAAATAATTTGCATATTTGTTGATTTAAATAATTTGCATATTTGTTAAGTGTAACATTTTAATGTTTTACTTGGCTTTATCCCATAAACCGCAGCGCAGAAGTGTAATAAAGCCATTAAATAAAAACGATATTACACTAGTGTAATATCACTTT